GGAGGGCCGGGGCGGCACGGAGGGGTGGGGGGCACGGAGGCCGGGGGTGGCATGGAAAGGGTGAGGGTGGCACGGAGGCCGGGGGCGCACGGAGACGCGCAGGGGAAACACTAAAGCGCGCGGGGGCAGCGGTCTGCGCTCGCAGGTTTCAGGTTTCGGAGGCGGCTGGGGTCCCGGGTGTCCCCACCTCCGCCGCCACCCAGTTCCCTTTGGGTGGTGTCTGAGCAGGCGGGGGAGAGGAGGGGACTATTTTTGCACACGCCGCCTGTGCCCCTGCTTGTGTAGAAAGCCCCCCCATATGGACAAAGCAAGGACCCCCACACTCTCCTCAGACCATTGGAGTCCCCTGCTGTGATTGGTCAGACCCTCCTGGGGCCTATAGAGGACAGGGCGTCCAGGACCTCCTTACTGGCCCTGGCTGTGTGGCCGCTGCACAGCGGAGCTGCCCCACAGGAGCCACGCAGGTGCAGTGGCCAGTGGGCGGAAGGCCCTGTCTGGGAGCCGCTCCAACAGCATTGTCACCTCGTCCATCCTGCCTCCTGGGAGCCCAGAGGTCAGGAGGATCAGAGGCAACTGGGTGGCAAAATGGATCCCACGGGCGAGACAGGCTGGCGAGGTGGCATCCTGGGGACTATCATCTGGAGTGCACCCGGTATGAGACATGGAGGGGGCAGGGGGATGGGTCCCAGCTCTGGGTCCACTGTCAGGGACCTCCTTTCCAGCCCAACAGGCAAAGCGCCCCATATGGAGGGCCCCATTTCTGCCGACCCTGGAAATGCCCTGGACACCTGGACCTGGGCAGGGGGAGGTGCTGGTGTGGGGCTGGGAGAGAGCCTCTGTCCATACCTTCTGTGCCCAAGGTAGCCCGCCTCGATGACCAGCGTCAGAAGACAGCTCCTGTGATCAGGGGTGGGTGGGTTTGCGGGCTGGGCCAGATATCAGGGTCTTCTGAGTTGCGGGTCCTCCTGAGGGTCCAGGCAGGGCAGGGAGGACCACCCCAGGGCTCCAGGCCTGGCACTCCTACCCCATCCCTCTTGAACGATGCCCCTTCTCCCCAGTGCACCAGGCTCCTTTGAGGTTTCACCAGAACCAGGAGTCCCACTGCCTCCACTGCTTGGTGGCCCTTGAGCTAGAGGGCTCTGAGGTCTCTTCCTTCCACCAATACCTTCCGCTCTGTGGCCTCGAAGCAGCGGCGGAGGCTGGGTGCTGGGATTTAGGGGAGGGCCTGTCGGGGAGCTGCCAGCAGGCTTCCTGCCTTTGGAGACAGGAACTGGTGTCCAGGGACTCTGGGTCAGCCCTGAGCTGGGGCCTGGGCTTCATGAACAGAACGCTGCACCCTGGGGAGGGCTCGGGACTGGTAACCGGCAGGCCTGGCCTGTGAGACTCTCCTCGGCCTCGGGGCCTGAGGGCCAGTCCTCCTGACTCTGCGAGAGGACAGGGAGAGCCAGGGCCCAGCCCCAGCAGCAAAGCCCCGAGCCGCATGCCCTGGTGGCCCGGCCTTGCTGACCAGGGTCTGAGTCAGGGGCAGGAAGACTGACAGGCTCACATGAACAGGGTGGGCAGGGGCGGGCCTGCCAGTCTTGGGGTGACCAATGGCCGCTGCCCAGGGGTCCCCAAGTGCTGGCTTCTGCCCATCCTGGAACAGGCAGTGAGTATGTCTAGGTAAGAGGACCCTGAAGACATGGCCCTCCCCTGCCCCTGACCTGGGAGAAGGCACAACCCCCCAGAACCGTCCAGAGGCTGTGTGGAGGCCACGCCTAACATTGGGGCTCTGGGGGAGCCAACCCTTGAGGGACCTCGGCTGGAGAGTGCTGGCTGGTCACTGTGCTCTTCCACCCACAGAGGCCAGGCCAGCGGAGATGTCACTTCTCTAGCTTCTTCTCCTGTGTGACGTAAAGAGCGTCCTGGGCCATGGAGACCGAGGCCACAGGCAGGAGCCTTGAGGCCAGCAGGGTGGGGTCCCAGAGGTGTCCACAGCTGACATTGGAGGACCCTGTGGAGTCCTGCCTGCCCCATGCCAGGGGCACCATGTGGGCAGGAGGAGCCGCCCCAAGGGTCCCCCCTGCCTGGGAGGGGTGTCTGTGGAGGGGGTGCCACCCCAAGAGGCAAAGAGGGTGGGGGCTAGACCTGGACTAGGGTGAGGCAAGTGAGGCGTCCACGTCAGGAGCGCAACGTAGGAGTCTCCAGAGACTCAGCAACCACGTCCATCGGCAGGTGACGGACAACCAGAATGAGCTGGGGCCGTACCAGGTCAATGGTCTGGAAGCAGGAAGGAAGTGTGGACACGCGCGACAACACAGGTGAACCACGGGAACACGATGCTCAGTGGAAGAAGCCCGTCGCGGAAGGCCACGTGTCGCGTGGTCCCATTTATAGGAAATATCCAGAACAGGCAGATCCACAGAGACAGAGGCAGGTTGTGGTCGCAGAAGCCTGGGGAGGTGGAGAGGGGAGATGGGGAAGGGCTGCCTAAGGGGTACAGGCTGCTTCTGGGGTGATGAGAATGTTCTAGAACTAGATAGACATGGTGCCTGCAGGACCTTGTGACCATACTAAAACCCACTGAATTGTACACTTTACCATGGTGAATTTTATGGTATGTGATTTATATCTTAATAAAGCCTTTAAAAGCAAACTTAGCAACCAAGGTAACTAATACTTTAATGCAATATTTTAAAGAGTCAAAATTAATTTTAAAAATCTGTGCAGAATATCCAAGTATTGAACACAGGCAGGCACGGAATTCATGCAGGACCTTCTCCGAGGCCAAGGCCGTGGTGGCTCAGGAATGGGGGTTCCCATCACCCTGGCACCCTGGTTTTGGCTGTGCTGGGGCGGGGGTAGCCACGGGAGCCACGCCAGCCTAGGGGACGGCAGTGACTTTTGTCCCCTCCTGTGCCTTCCAGTCCCCTGGCCCATGTGACAACAGTGATGTCTGTTAGGCACAGGGGCTGGGAGGGGAGACCAGGGCTTCGCTGCATTCCATGCTGGTCCTCACTGGCCTGCGGTGGCTCCAGGGAGGTCCCCTTCTACAGACAGACTCAGAGGCTCAGGGAGGGGTCACTAGTAAGGGGCGGGCCTGGGGCCAGGGGGAGGACGGGGGTGGGAAGAAGGGCGGGAAGCCAAGGAGTAGGACAGGGTCCCGGGAGGGGCTGCAGGCATGTCCCGGGCTGCCAGAACAAACTGCGTGGCTCAAACAACAGGAATTTATTCTCTCAAGGTTCTGGAGGGCAGACGTCAGAGGTCAAGGTGGGGCAGGGCCACGCTCCCTCTGGAGGCTCCAGGGGAGGGTCCTTCCTGCCTCTTTCAGCTTCTGGGGGCTCCGGGGGCTCCTTGGCTTGTGGCAGCGTCACTCCAGTCTCTGCCTCCGTCTTCACACGGCTTCTTCTGTGAATCTCTGTCTTTTCCTCTCCGTATGAAGACACCAGCCATTGGATTTAGGGCCCACCCTGCTCCCGTACGTCTCATCTTAACTTGATTACATCTGCAGAGACCCTATTTCCAGATCAGGTCCCATTCACGGGGATTAGGGGTCAGGACTTGAAAATATCTTTTAGGGGACACAATTCAACCTTCTACAGGAGCGAAGGGCACGGGGTGGGGGACAGGTGCAGAGTGGGGAACACAGGGCCATAGGGACAAGGTCAGCACCTTCTCAAATTCCTCCTCTAAACATTTTAATCCAATAAGCCACATGAGCATTTCTGCATACGAGGCTGCCCCAGATTCCACACACAAACCCACATGCGGGCACCACAATGGGCATCGTAGGGCCCCAGGGGACACCCTCGCCTGGCAGGACCTCCCTGCAGTGGGCACCTGTCCCCACCCCTCCACCAGCCCTCTCAGCTGCATCTCTAGGGAGTGTCAGCCTCTGCAGCAGTGAGGACCCCAAGCCGCTACCCCAATTTGGCCCCAGTGCTGGACCCCCTGGGGCACAGAAAGAAACATGTGGCTGTTGATGAAACTGAGGCACAGTGAAGGGGCAATGTGCACCCAGTAAGGTGGAGCCAGAGCCGGAATCCCAGCCCACCCACCTCAAGCTGCCACCCTGAGAGGTGGCCCCCACTCAGGATGGGTGGAGGGGGGCAGGAAGCTTGGGTGCCCATAGAAGTGCTCACCTTGTCCCTGCCTGTGTGTGGGGGAGGGGTGCAGCTGCCAGGGGAGAGGGCTGTCCCCACCTCAGCCTGCCCAGGGAGAGCTCAGCCTCGGAATAGCCCCCACCTCCCAGCCTTGCCCACCACAGGGGTTCCAGCGTTTGCCCAAGAGACACTGGAGGGCAGGGTACAGCCTGCCAGGGCTGCTTGGCCTCCCCAGGAAGGCGAAGATGTTGCCAAGTGTTCAGAGCTGACCATGGGCCACCCCGCCAGCCCCCCCAGGGGACACACCCTGGTCCAGGAGGAGGCTGCAGCTTGTGAGAGCTTTGTCCTTGTGCACAAGGGCTCCCTGGAAAAGACAAGTGAACGCCCTCCTATTTCTAATACCCCCAGGGCAGGGGCAGGGCTGGGATGTTGCAGGGATCTGGGGTGGCAGGGGGCCAGGCTGCAGCAGGACAGGCCATCCCCGCTCCCCATGCCCCTGCCTCCTGCAGTTGTTGAAGGCAGAAGGGCAGCAGTACCAGAGGCCACCAGACCAGAAACTCCCCAGAGGGGCAGCGTCTGTCGTGCACAGGGACTGGGGTTCAGCAGCATCCCCAGAGCTGTGGGGTGGTCCCCGTGGCCTCTCCAGGCCAGCTCAGGCTGGAGTGGGGCCAGTGAGTTGGGGGGCCAGGGCTGGGGGCCAGGAGGGACAGCTCTGAACAGAAATGAAACCAGAGGGGGTGCCCTGGGTACAGGCCATCTGTCAGTTTGGGGCAGGTGCTGGTTCCAGGAGCTTTGGAGAATGCCACACCCACCTGCCTTTCCACCTGCCACTTCCCTATCCTGAGGACCTTCCCCGGGCTCCCCTCGCCCTTGTCCCAGTGGGGTGGGCTGCACGGGGCCTCCTCAGTGGCAGAGCTGCACAGGCCACAGACTCTTCCCTGCCCTGCTGGAGGGAGGGGCTCTCTGGTTTTCTTTGTACTAAAAGCATTGTTTCATCCTCTGTGTATTTTTAATTCTTTTTTTTTAATGTCTTCATTAATTTATTTTTGGCTTTGTTGTTGTGGTTGCTGTCGTTGCATTTTTTAATTGAGGTGAAATTCCCATAATATGAAACTGTCTTTAGTGGACAATTCAGGGGCATTTAGTACAGAACACTTTCATCAACCCTAAAGGAAACTCCATACTCGTTAAATGATAACTGCCATTCCCCTGTCCCCGACCCCCTGGCAACCACCCATCTGGTTTCTGTCTCTATGGATTTGCCTGTTCTGGATATTTCAAAAAAATGGAACCATATACCACAGGCGGTGTTTCGTGTCTGGCTGTTTTCACTCAGCATATGGCCAAGGGTCACCCATGTTGTGGCATGTGTCAGAACTTCACTCCTGTTCGTGGCTGAATGATATTCCCTTGTAGGGATGTGTTTATTCGCTCAGGTGTTAATGTCAGTGCTGCATGCTGGTGACAAGGCGGCAGTGCAGGGGGGACGTGCGGGGTGGGGGCAGCCCCCAGACGGCAGGCAGGGCTGGAGAGCTGACAGTAAGCACCACTGGAGAAGAACTTGGCAGGACCACAGGCTCTTCCATCCTTTGACTCGGTCCTTCTATTCTTGTGAACGTTGCCAAGGAAAGAGAGGGGCTACTTGGACAAAGACACACTTTTGTCTCTAGTGACAAACATGCTGGAGCCTCCTCAGGGTCCAGTAGCACATGGCCACTCACAGAAGCTGCTGGAACATTCTCAGCTCACAGGCACAACATGGAGCCATTTTTCACTGTAACTGTGCAGCACCGTGTGACGTGATAGAACGCGATACAGAGAAAGCAGATCGCAGCGTCACATCCACACTGTATAAAACACTAGGAGGCAGGACCACATGACGGAGAACTGGTGGTGTTGGGGTTGGGCACAGGTGGCACAGGGCTTACTTTGACTGTCATTATTGGGGTACGGTGCTGTCTGTGGAACACAGAGACTAAAAGACTCAGGCCTGGAAAACAAATGGATGGTGAGGTGTCTCCCTCCAGACAGGCTACGTCCAGGAGGGGCTGTCGGGTGATGTGACCTTGTTCTGGTCCTCAAGGTCTCATCCTGGTGACAGCCCTGCAATGCCCTACTTGGGGAGGGAGGCCAACCAGGGAGAGAGGTGCCCTCAGGGCCCATCTTGGCCTAACAGAGACCTCACTCTCCTCCCTGGCCTTTATTTTAGGGGTTCTTGGGCCTAGCTCCCCGTCTCCCTGCAGTGACCCAGGGACAAAGACAGCTGCTTGGGCCTGGCTGTTTGCTGGAGGGGGCCCAGGTTGTCCAGCACCTTCTGCTGGCTTCTTGGACACCCTGGCCAACCTGCACCCACTGGGAGACCCTGCCAACCCCACAGATTGTCTCCAAGGGCCACCACACACACACCCTTCCAGCCCCTGTGAGGCCAGCAGGCAGGGCTGGACCTCGTGCTACTGATAGAAACTCCACATGAGGAGCAGGGCTGCGGCTGGCTTAAGTCCACGGCTGGAAAGCCAGGCTGTGAGCCCCAGACCAGTGGCTTCCTCCTGCGTTATATCTTCCTCTGCAGAAAAGCACTAAGAATTGGACAAATTCCTAGAAACACAAAACCTATCCAGACTAAATCACAAATAAATAGGAAATTTGAATAGACCTATAACTACTAAGGAGATTGAATCAGTAATCAAAAATCTCCTGACAAAGAAAGGCCCTGAACCTGATGTCTTCACTAGTGAATTCTATGGAATATTTTTTTTTCCTTTTTGTCTTTTTTCGTGACCGGCAACGGATCGCAACCCTCAGTGTCACGCCCGTACCGGACTGGGACCGGCAACAGGATCACAACCCTCGGTGTTGCGCCCGCACCTCGCTCAGCCAGTGAGCAGCCAGTCTGTATGTGGGATCCGAACCCTCGGCAGGAGCGCCGCCGCGCTCCCAAGCAGCGCACTGTAACAGTGCGCCACTGGGCCGGCCCCAAATTCTATGGAATATTTAAAGAACTAACACCAATCTTCAAACTCTTCCAAAAAATTGCAGAGAAGGGAATGCTTTCTGACTTATCCTAGGAGGCCAGCATTACCCTGATACCAAAGCCAAGGAACTACAAGAAAAGAAAACTACAGCCCAATATTCCTTATGAATATTGATGCAAAAAATCCTCAACAAAATACTAGCCACCTGAATTCAGCAGCACATTAAAAGGATAATATACCACGACCAAGTGATTTATTCCTAGAATGCAAGGATGGTTCAACATATGAAAGTCAATCAGTGTAATACACCTCATTAACAGAACAAAGGACAAAACCACGTGATCATCTCAACCGATGCAGAAAAAGATTTGACCAAAATCAACACCCTTTCATGATTAAAAAAGAATAAACACATTATGAATAGAAGGAAACTATCTCAACATCATAAAAAAGTATATATGAGAAACCCACAGTAAGCACCATACTCAGTGGTGAAAGACAAAGCTTTTCCTCTAGGATCAGACACAAGGCAAAGATGCCGGCTCCCGACACTTCTATTCAGCATAGCACTGGAATTTCTGGCCAGAGCAATTAGGCAAGGAAAAGAATAAAAAAAAATAAAAGGCTTTCAAATTGGAAAGGAAGAAGTAAAAACTACCCCTGTTCACAGATGATATGATCTTATATGTAGAAGACCCCAAAGATTCCACATACACACACAAAAAAAAAGAACAATTAGAGCTAATAAATAAACTCACCAAAGGAGCAGGATACAAAGTCAGCTCACAAAAATCAGTTGCATTTCTATACGCTAACAATGAACAATCTAAAAAGGAAACTACAAAAACAATTCTATTTGTAATAATAACAAAATGAAACAAAACAAACAAAAAAATGAAATACTTAGGAATTAACTTATCCAAGGAGGTGAAAGACTTGTACAATGAAAACTAAAACATTGCTGAAAGAAATTAAAGAGGACATAAATAAATGGAAACACATTCCATGCTCATGGATTGAAAGACAATATTGTTAAGACGTCATTACTACCCACAGTGATCTATAGATTCAGTGCAATCCCTCTCTAAATCCCAATTTTTTTTTGGAAATAGAAAGACTCATTTTAAAATTCATATGGAATCTCAAGGGACCTGGAATAGCTAAGACAGTGTTTAAAAAGAACAAAGCTGGAGGACTCACACTTCCTGATTTCAAAACTTACTACAAAGCTACAGTAATCAAAATAGCATGGCATTTGAATAAAGACAGACATTGACAAATGCAATAGCATAGCAAGCCCAGACATAAACTCTCACATTCAACTCCTAAAATTCAACAACAAAAGGGCCCGCCCATGGCTCACTTTGGAGAGTGTGGTGCTGACAGCACCAAGTTAAGCGCTGAGATCCCCTTACTGATCATTTAAAAAAAATTCAACAACAAATAAACAATGCCGTTCAAAACTGGGTAAAGGACTTGAATAGATATTTCTCCAAAGAAGATATACAAATGGCCAATAAGCATGTCAAAAAGTGCTCAGCGTCACTAATCATTAGGCAAATGCAAATCAAAACCATAAGGAAACACTACTTCACTCTCATTAGGATGGCTACTCTCAAAAAGAAAAACAGAAATTAACAAATGTTGTCAAGGGTGTGGAGAAATTGGAACCTTGTGTTCTGTTGGTGGGAACGTAAAATGTGCAGCCACTGTGGGAAACAGCGTGGTGGTTCCTCAAAACAGTACGTTAAAATTACTCCACAATCCAGCCATGCCACTTCTGGGCACACACCCCAAAGAACTGAAAGCAGTGTCTTGAGCTACGTGCACACCCACGTTCACAGCAGCACTATTCACAATAGCCAAAAGTGGAAAAAATCCAAGTGGCTCATCACCAGATAAGCGGACGAGCAAAACGTGGTCTGTTCAGGTGCTGGAATGTCATTCAGCCATAAAAGGAAGGAAATCCTGACACGTGCTACAGCATGGCGGAACCCTGAGGACAGCGTGCTAAGTGAAAAAAGCCAGTCGCACAAGACAAATACTGTGAGATTTAGAGCAGATGAGGTTCCTGGAGTCATCAAAATCACAGAGACAGAAAGTGGAGTGGGGTTGCCAGGGGCTGGGGAGGGTCAAGGAGAGTTGGTGTTTAATGGGGACAGAGCTTCAGTTTGGGAAAACAGAAAGTTCTGGAGACGGACAGTGGCGATGCTCGCACAGCAATGCGAATGTGCTTAACGCCACTGAACCATGCACTTAGGATGGTTAAAATGGTGAATTTTATGTTGTGTATTTTACTACAAAAGGGAAGGAAGGAAGGAAGGAAGGACTGAGAGCAAAAGGAGGAAAAGGCCCGCCGCGGTGCCGCCGGCAACCTGCGCTGCTTCGTGCTCTCTTCCGTGCACCAAACTTTCTACAACAAACGCGATTTCTTCATCTCATCCAAAAATTTATTATAGATAATATTTCAATCACCCTAATTGAAACGGTGACATTCATTCAAAGCCCAAAAATAAGCAAGAATTTAACTGGCCCCCAATTGCTGCTAGGGACAGGGATGGCTCACCCTTTGGGAACGGAAATTGGTGGGATGAACTGGCACCCCCTCCCCATCCTGGGCCTGGGCATCCCCCTGATGTCTTGCCTGGGGCTCTCAGCAGTCCCCCTGCTGCCCCATATGCCCGGCCAGGATGGGCATCCAAGTCTCCTCCGGGGAAACAGAACTCGAGTTTTTCTCACCTTCCTGGGGGTTCTTGAATGAGGAGGAGGACGGAGCCTGCCACCTGGGGGAGCCACCTGGGGGAGCCACCTGGGGGTGCCACCTGGGGGAGCCACCTGGGGACTGCTGGCTGCAGGAGGTGCTGCCTGAGGGGCTGTTGGCTGGGAGCTACTGCTTGGGGGGCCGCTGACTGGGGGGGACTTTTACCTGCGGGCTACTGCCTGGGGGGGTCTTCTGTCGGGGAGGGGGCTTCTGCCTGGGGGGCCACTGACTGGGGGGACTGCTGGCTGGGGGGGAATGCTGTGAGAGTTACCTGAGACCCTCTTGGCCTGGCACAGGCCACCCAATGGCAGATGCTGCTGCTTATCACATCCACTGTTACCTGTCACACATCATGATGAGTGTCACCGTCACTGGTAGGGGCCAAGCCCTGCTCCACCAACAGGACCAGGCCACCACGGTCTGCGTACAGGTCATGGGCAGCCCTGTGGCCTCCAGCACACAGCCCCATTCCAAGCTTCACTCACAGGCCCGCCGCCCCGAGTGTGGCCACCACCCAACAGGGCACTGTGCAGGATGAAGCCACCCTCCTTGGGCAGAAGGTAGCCGTGTACATGGTGTTCAGAGCCGGCCAGGGACCACCCCCGGTCCTCTTCACCCCCAACCAGCCGGCTGCACTGAGATCTGGGAGGAAGCTGGAAAAGCTTTATAACCCCAGAAGCCCCCTCCTCCGCCCACCACCAGCCCGCGGCCTTGCTGGGCTGTGCGCCTCCCACCTGGTCACGGCACCACGGCACGCTGGCCCTGCACCACGGCCAGCTCCTCCTGCTCAGCTGCTGCCATGGCTGCAGGCTCTGGGCCTGGGTTCCAGCTGCGTGGCCTGGGGCAGATCCGCGCCCCTCTGATCTCAGGCTCCAGCTGGTAGCTCAGGGAGCTCATGCCAGGCCCAAGCAGCCCCTCTTGTCCCTGCGCTCTCTCACAGGTGCCACCACTCCTCCTGCCCCCACCCCAGGCTCGGGAGGCCAGTCTGCACCGCCCAGTGAGGACAGGCCAAGTGCCAGCGAGCCCCTGGGGGTGGCCAGCGCCAGGCTGGAGTACTGGGAGGGTGGGGACAGCTGCAGCTGAGACGCAAACAGGCCGAGCAGCCACAGGTATAAAGCTGCAGCCCCTGCAACCTCTCCGCTCTCAGCCCAACTCACCGCCCTGATCCCTCGAGGGAAGCCAGGCAGAGGCAAGCCCTGCCAGGGAGGGGCGGGCCTCGTCTCCACCCGTAGGACAAGGTGGGGCCTGGGGCCTGGGGTCCCAGGGAGGCCTGGGGAGGTAGGGAAAGGAGAAGGAAGGGGAGGGCAGCCCTCCCTGCCTGCAGTGCCCTGAGGGAGCTCCAGGTCCAAAGGCAGCCGCAGTGCCTGGCGTGTGCACGTGTGCAGGCATGTGCTGTGCAGGCCTCCGGCACATCTGTGACGGTGGCTGTGAGCCGCATGTTGGCCCCTGGAGGCTGGGAAGCTCACTGCCCACGGGCCCCAGGCACTGAGTGGGCACAGGGTGGGGCTGGCAGGGCAGCAGGTCCAAGACCTCCAGACCCACAGATTCTGCAGGCGCACTGGGCCCTGCACCCAGCCCCATCCCGGTGGGACCCCACTGCCTCCACCACCCCTTCCCACCATCTCAGCGTCTAAACGCAGTGACTCGTGGGCAGAGGCCAGCTGCTGTGGGTAGACCAGAGCCCCCAGGGAGGGCCATGTGGATTGTGCAGAGTGGTCTGGGGTGGGGGCCGGGTGTTGAGGACGCAGCAATGCTGGGGATATGTGGGGGTCTGGGGGGTCTTAGCCAGGCCTGGAAGGTCTGGCCAGCTCTGGCTGTGGAGGAAATGGGGAGGGAGGCCTTTCCGGGCACTGAGAGCGACCCCCAAGAGGCAGGGCAGCGGACCCACGGGGCACGCGTGTGTGGTGCCTTGTAGCTTCTGCACCAGGCTGGACCTCACAGCCTCACTCTGGGGACCAAGTGATACTCCGTCCCAGGTGCTGGATGCAGAGCTATAAATAAATAAGCAACAGCCCAAAGCCTTGGGTCCTGCCCTGCACCGTCCACCTCCAGCTCTGATCTCAGGCTCCCCTGCCTTTGTCGGGGGAGCACCCCAGAGAGCGGGGATGAGAGAGGGGTGGTGAACAGACACAGCCCAGCGCGCCCCTGGCACTCTGCAGACAGGACATTTAACTCCTGGCTCGACCGAGCCTGGTCTCGAATCAACACAGTCCCTCCTCCGTAAAACAGGTGACATTGGCCTCTGGCAGGGCCCCAAGGGGCAGGAGGGCATCCCCTCTTCCAGAATGGCCCCCAGGATGCTGGGTGGGGTGGGATTGGGGTCCTAGCTCAGGAGGTAGATGTAGGTGGTGGGGCCTGTCCCAGGGGCCCCGGGGCCCAGTCCTGCCCCCCATCCTAGCTGACCCTGTCCTGCCCCCACCTGTACGCTGGCTGCAGGAGGTGGCCATTGGTACCCCAGGCCAACAGGATTGGCTGCAACCCTGGCCTGTGGCTTTTCTGTCGGGAGGAGAGTAGAGATGCCTCAGGCCACTGTCTAGCCTCGCTCGTGACCGCGGGCAGCCCCTATTGGCAGCAGGAGCATGTTCCAGAAGACTCTGCCACCCCATGAACTTTCAAGACAGCCAAGGAGCCTAGGACACCCACTGGCCCCATGGTCCTTGAGCTGTGAAATAGCTGCTCTGCCACGAGCCCCAGAACCCAACCCCCCCGGGGATAGCAACCTGAGAGTCCGGTGAGTCACAAGGCACCACAGGGGCACAGGACAGCCCGGCCTTTGCTGGCCCCTCAGCCTGTCCCCAGATCCCTGTCCTCCTGGCTGCAATCCCGGTCGGCCTCTATAGCCTGGCACGACTCTGACTCTCACGAAGTGGCAGCTGCGCCTCCATGGCAGGAGCCGGCGCCGTGCAGGGTCTGTGCCTGTGCGCACCTCTCAAGCCAGCTCCCTGTCCGTCCCCAGGGTCAGACGGACAAGGACTTCTCTTCCTAGATGAAGAAAACGGCCCAGGTGCTGGGCATGTCCCTGTCAGACAAGGACACAGAGCTGCTGCCCACGGACATGAGGCACCAGGGTACGGCTCGCCCCAGCCCGCACAGCCCAGTCTGAACACGGGAGCCCAGCTGGGGGCTTCGTCCTTCCCCTGAGGCTGTTGGGCCCAGGACCCCATGACCTGCAGTGGGTGAGGAAGGGGGTATATAGGACGGGGGTCTTCCCTGGTCATCCCCTTGGTGACCCAAGCCTGGTGGGTCCCAGGTTCCTTCAACTATGTCAAGTTCTTTGAGCACGTGCAGAGCTTCCAGGCCTCTGCGCAGCTGGAGAGCGTCATCCGCGAGACCTACCAGACCCTGGACAAGGACAGGAGAGGCTTTGTCGAGTGGAATGAGATCAAGTAACTGTCCGGGACTTGGGCAGGGCTGGGCACAGGGGTGCAGGAGCCCTGGACCCCTGCCCAGACCCCGGCCATGTGCCACCCCGGCAGACCTGGCCTCCCCCACCGGGATCCCCAGCCTTGTGGAAGGCGAGGCCAGGTCGGACCCAGGGTCAGGGCTACAGGGATAGCACCGAACCCAAGCCCAGAGCCCAGGCTTGAGGCCCACGGCACCTCTCCAGGTCCTCAGTGTCCCAAACCACAAAGTAGGGGGTGAGCACCTTGTAAACCATCAGGCACTGGCCAGAAGCCCCTGTGGCCTGACCTGAGCCCACCCTTGGCCCAGGTACATCCCGTCTGCCATCCCCAGCAGCGGGCCAGCCCTGATCCAGGTGGCCGACACAGACGGGGACAGGAAGATTGACTACGAAGGTGGGGACAGCACAGATGGGGGTGGGGCAACCCCTCAGGACCTTCCTGCCCCCAGGGCCTGACCCTCCCCCCAGCTTACCGATGGGGAAACTGAGTCTCAGGGGTGCTGGCCTGCGGGAGCCACTGCAGGTTTCTGAGGAGAGAGGGCCCAGCAGGCTCTGTCTGGGAATGCCAGTGGGTACGGCCACCGTGGGTGTGGGAGGAATGGAATTTGAGGCCTGGGTCATCGCGCCACCATCCACCCTTCCCAGTGCTGGCCACAGGCCTGCCAGCTGTGGGCCCCATCCCCATAGGTTTCTGAGGAGAGAGGGCCCAGCAGGCTCTGTCTGGGAATGCAGTGGGTACGGCCACCATGGGTGTGGGAGGAATGGAATTTGAGGCCTGGGTCATTGCGCCACCATCCACCCTTCCCAGTGCTGGCCACAGGCCTGCCAGCTGTGGGCCCCATCCCCACCCACCTGGGCCTGCAAACGCCCACGGTCCCTGGCTTGTGGCTTGAGGCTTAACTTGCTCCGGGCTCCAGCCTCCCAGCCTCTCTGTGCCTCAGTTTCCCCACTGAGAAAAGCAGGATGATCATAGGGGCACCTGCTCAGAAGGGTCTGGTGGGACTTCCTGAGAGTCTCCTCAGAGACCCCGGCCATCGGCACAGGGCAAACAGCAGTGGTGTGGGACCCTCGGTCAGCACAGGCTCTGGGCCTTTCTGCTCCCCACCCAGGGGCCAAGAGGGCAGGACGTAGGGATCCCACGAATTGTGGGTCCCTCCTCATAGAAGAGGACACTCCGCCTCTGCCTCCTCTGGGAGCTAAAGGGCCTGTAGGTCTTGGGGTACGGGGCACAAAACAGGGTGTATTTACTAGAAATTGGTCTCCTGCCCTAGAATTTTCTGAATTGATCGAAAAGGAGAAAACTCAAAAGAAGTAGAACCACAACCAGCCCTGGCCCAGCCAAGAGGCCCCCGGGGACAAAAAGGAGCAAGCGTGTGCTCAAGGGGACGTCGCTGCCCAAGGAGGAAGCCATGGGGGTGGACACAGCTCGTGTCAGGAAAATGCTAGGAAAATAGCGTTAAATAAGCAACGCAGCCACGTGCGTTTGCGGCCTGTGCAGGGGAGCCGGGGAGGGGCAGGATCGTGTCCGCGGGTGACGCTGGGAGCAGGGCGAGCGTGTGAGGGTGCAGGAGGGAGACCTGGAGGTCGGCTGCCCCTCTGCCGTCCTCTTGCCCCCACCTCACTGGGGTCCCACCAGCCAGCCTTGGGCTGGCCCAGAGGTGCCCCCCATCAGCACAGTGCTGAGACCCCTGAAGGGCTCCGTCCCCCAGGTTGTGCTGGGCCCGACCTGCGGCCACATGGGCCCATGCGCCCACGCTTCACACAGCAGCCGCGTGAGCATGGCACAGGGACACCTGCAACCCCAGGGTGTGACCGAGTCGTGCCCCAGTGGGTCTCATGCAAGGCCGAAGCACCCAGGGCCCATCCTCTGCCCGCGACTCCTCGCCCGCCCCGGCTTCCCCGCCTCGTCCTCCTCTTCCTCCCCGGACACTCCTCATCTCTCTCCATGGTCCCCGTCTGCTCCCAGGTTCTGCTGGCGGGGTCCCCGGGGCCAGTGCTTGGGCCTCTGCCCCACCCACACCTGCTCGCCCGGCGGGCTCCCCCGTCTCATGGTTTAAGTGCCACTTGAAAGCTGGCAGCCCCCGCCTGGCCTGGGGCCCCTGTCCCAGCCCCGCATCCTGCGTGGAAGGTGAGCTCACACCAGAAGGCAAGACACAGCCCCCAGGAGCACTGCTGCTGGCCTAGATGAGTGAGCAGGGAACAGCTGCCACCAAGCACAGGAACGTCAGGGCTCATCTGTTGCAGCAGCAGAGTCACGTCATCCTCGCCAACCCACCTGCAGGCGACTGACCTGCCTTCCACACATATCCGGAGTCCCCTCCCCGACCAGCCTGGCTACGGTCACCTCATGCCTTAGTGACCACCGTAGCCTCCAAAGTGGTCTCTCTGCCTCCACCGCTGACAGTCTGTTAACTCAGGAGCCAGAGGGGACCTTTTAAGGTAGAAGTCAGACGAGTCACCTCTCAGAACCCTCTGAATGACCCCCTTCTCGTGCAGTCGAGCCACGTCCCCGGGGCCCCACATGCCCTGCCTCCCCTGCTCTCTGCCCTCAGACCCAATGCCCCGGTGCGGCCACTTGGCCTCTTCAGCCAAGCACCACCTGCCCCAGGGTCTTTGCACAGCTGTCCCATGGCCTGGCACACTCTTCCCTGGAAATCCAGCTGAGACAAACTCCCTCTTCTCCTTCAATGCTTTCCTCAAGTGTCACATCCCATGTAGGTCCATCTGTCCATTTCGCTCTCCCTCCTCGGGCTTTCTACACTCTCCTGTACCTGGTCTCCGCCTCGCTCAGCTCTCCCCCTCCCCTAATGCACTCGAACATCCCCATGTGTGTGTCTATTATGAGCAAAGCAAGGCACCCGGGACATGGGCTCTGAGATCCCAGAAAAGGGAAGCCCCTCAAGCTGAGCGTGACAGTGACACAGGTTTCTGCTGCAGGCATTTGCTGGCCAGTAATGGCTGAGGGGCCCAACAGCTGAGGAGGGTGTCCTGTGGCCTCAAGGTGTTTAGTCAGGGAGGAGGACTTGGGTTGTCGTTCCTGTGGGGCTATCTCTAAGGACAGAGAACCTGACCAGTCCTCGTAGTCTGGAGTCCATCTTCTCCGTCAGCCCAGACCCAGGGCATCAGCCCCCACCCTTCCCCTAACTGCCCCCCAGAGCAAAAGTAAACCCGCTGGGTCAGGGGTTGGCAAACCACAGCCCTCAGGCCAAATCTAGCCCAACGCAGGCCCAACGTGGTCTAGTTATTGTCCATGTCTACCTTTGCACTCCAGAAAGGTCAGAGGTAAAAAGAAGGGCAAAGGTGGGCAGTGCCACACTAAGGAGAGGAAGCAGGTGCGGCTGAACTGTGACCAGATAAGGGAGACTGTAAGACAAGAAGCACTGCTGGAGGCAAAGAGGGACGGTCGTAATGACAAAGGGTCAACCCACAGGAGAACAACTGTTCTAAAGGTGTACGCACCGAATAACACACCCTCAAAATACATAAAGCGAAAGTGAGCAGACTGAAATGAGAAAGGGGTAGTGCACAATCGCAATGGGAGGTCTCGGCATTTCTCTCTCAGGAAATGATAGAACAAGTAGGAAAGAAATGAGTCATGCTGAAGAAAGAAGAATGCACAGCACTGGGGAACCACAGTGTGTCCCAGTATGGAAAGAACTTCTTGTATGTTAGGGAAATCAGCAGTTTGCCATGCGAGTTGCAAAGATCCAAAGATGGTGGAATAGATGGTCCCTAGAGTCACTCTCTCCCACAAATCAACCGATTTAAACTATAAAAACATAACATCAAGTGCATATGGAACGGGGAGATGTCCAGCGGGGGAGGCAGAAGCTCTGCAGAGACCACATGCCCTGAGGGGCCGCCGTCCCACGATCCGGCAGATAGGCTTCACCACTGCCACCCAGCTCCATTCCAGCCCAGCCCAGTGAGCGCAGAGTGGGGAGACATCTGGCAAGGGAGGTGGAGGCTCCGCAGAAACCACACACCCTGTGGGGCTGCCACTGCCTGATCCAGCAGGTAGGCTTCACCACAGGCACCTGGCTCCATTCCCAGCCCAGCCTAGTGCGCTCGGAGCAGAGAGACATCCAGCAGGGGAGGCAGGAACTCCACAGGGGCCACACTGCTGCCGCACAATCCAGCAGCCCGGCCCAATGCATATGGAGTACAGAGATGTCCAGCAAGGGAGATAGAAGCTCCGTAGAGGGCCGACCCTGTGGCTCACTTGGGAGAGTGCAGCGCTGGGTGTGCAGCGGTGCTCCTGCCGCGGGTTCAGATCCTATATAGGGATGGCCGGTGCGCTCACTGGCTGAGCGTGGTGCAGACGACACCAAGTCAAGGGTTGCGATCCCCTTAACGGTCACACACACAAAAAAAGAAGCTCCGTAGAGTCCACACACCCTGTGGGGGGGCCGCCACCGCGCGATCCAGCAGCAGGTAGGCTTCACCGCCGCCACCCGCCTCCATCCCAAGCCTGGCCTAGTGTGCACAGAGCAGGGAGACATCCTGCGGGAGGAGGGGAAGCTCTGCAGAGACCACACACTCTGCGGTGCCTTGGCACATCCCAGCAGCCCGGGCCAGAGCACACAGAACAGGGAGAAGTCCAGCATGGGAGGTGGAAGCTCAGCAG